TTCATATTGTCTACGCCTATATCAAACTCCTCCAACCGCCTCCGTGGTGTAGTGGTTAGAGCGTCCGCCCGGAGAGCGGAAGGTCGCGGGTTCAATCCCCGACCGCGTCATAACAAAAGACGTTAAAATATGGTACTTGTTGGTCCCTGCCTGGCGCTCGGCATTAATGGGTACAACAAGGACTGGTCGGCTCGGAGTCAGTATAATGTGTCTGAGTGGGGTATTCATGCTTCACTGTGGCATGGTATCTCAGTGGGCTAGCACTATAAAACCAGCTTAAGTCTGGGCTAGTACAAGCAGCCGCACATACACATACACACGCATGCACGTCGTCATATGAGCGAAATATTCTCAAGCACGACGTAAAACCCAATTTCACCTCACCTCACCTCACCTCACCTCAAGCTCCTCCACAATATGTTCATCAATAATGACATAATCACTTAAGTTCCTGGTTCTCGCATTAAAGTCTCCGAAAATTTTAATAAAGTCACTTATTGAAAAGTAATGCAGAATAGAGTGTTCTATTTCGAAAAAAGCATCGTCATTGACGTATTTAGACCCTTCGGGCGGTAGATATACAATACCCATATACATATCTTGGTCAATATTGAATAAATCTTTTTGAAATCTTTACCCACAAAACGTAATTATTACTAATTTCGTCGTCTAAAATGGATATATAATTTTCATATTGATTTTTATAAGCAACCCCGATACCACCTGATTTCCTTGAACAATTAGTTATATGTTTGAGGTATACTTTAAAACCATCTATTTCTATTTCATCCAAATTATCAGTTTTGGTTTCCTGCAGTCCTACGATGTCATAATGTTCTAACATTTCAATAAAGTCTGGATAATGTGTTCTTTTCCTTAATCCATATACATTCAAACTAAAGAGACTAATTTCAGTTCTATTATTTGTATCATCATCGTCGTCGTCGTCGTCGTTATCATCATCATCGACCTCAACAGTATCAGCATAGCAACATCATCATCAAAGACGTCATCATCATTAACAACATTATTATTACTAGCATCACCAAGAACAACATTATCATTAAGAGCATCTGGCATGATGATATTATCAAATATTATTTTAGTAACGCCAGTAAAGTTTTCAGTGTTTTTGCTATAGGACCTGGATGTAATACCTTGGCCTTCACTCACTGAACTGGATGAAGGACATCGAGTGTTTACATCTACGTCAGTCCGTGCCACATCACATGCCTCAGCAGCAACAACTACGTCAAAAATAAGACCCTCATCATTTATACTGGTCAATACATTATTTTGTTCTTTACCTCCAAGTTTTGTCTTATCACAATCATGAATAGTTTTAGAAACGACAACCTCAGCTGCAACATCATTATTGCCATGATCATTGTTAGCATTTTGAACAAACTTCAGGATAATATCATCCTTGTCAACTACTTGCTCAATTTCATGACAAACATTATACAAGTCAGATTCAACAGATTGGTCTATATCACAATCTTTAGTAACAGCAACACAGGTTCTTATATTATCATACAACATGATATTACTGGTTTCAACATTTTTAACAGAATTCAGACCAAGATCACTCTTATTAACAAATTGATCAACCTCATGACAAACATTATACAAATCAGGTACTGCAGGTTGGTCTATGTCACACGTGTTGGAAATAGCAACACAACTTTCTATATTTTCATCCAATGTGATATTACTGGTTTCATCGGAATGAAGAGAATTACTCAATTGGATATGTTTATCAACAGTATTTGTATGTCTTGGATTCAGATTATGATTTGTAATATAATGATGCTTTGGGAAATTTTCATCTATAGAGTGAAGGTCAACATCAACATCTACCACAAATTCTTTTTTTTATGACAATGTATATCAAATTGTGTGAGAACGTTGTTAGTTGGGCTGTTGGATGATAGTTTAGAGGTATGCACTTCATCTGCAGGCTTTACTTGTTTAGTCAGAATAAGATCATCTTTACAATCAAAGGGTATACAGAATGATTTAGATCTGTAATAATGATTATCAGCGTCATATGAGTTTACTTGTCTGTAATCAGATTGCTGCCTTGTTTGGAAGTCAGGGTCAGCGTTCGAGTGGCTTACGTCAGTACCACCGGTACACCCCTACCTCTGGTGTGGCGCTGTTGCCAGTCTGGGTCTGGTATAGGCTCCTGTCTGGGGGACCCTGTAAGGAGGGGGAGCAGGCACAGTTGAAAGAGAGTTATTAACATACAGTCTATCTACAACAATGTGAGCTCTGTGCCCTTTGCTCCTAGCTTCCCTCTGTAAAGGAAACAACACATCTCTCCTGTAGTCACTTATCTCATCGGGAAACTATTCCAGTATTCTCTCCTTCCTCCCCTTCAGTTCTCTCCCAGCTCTCTTCACTGTGTCTCTCTCTGAGGTGATGTTGAACTTGGCGATGATTGACCTTGGTCTGGTGATGCCCTGTCTTCTCTGTCCAATCCTGTGAATTCTCTTGAAGTGAATATTATCAGATTCAACTTTCAGATCATCCTTTATAAACTTTCCCAAGATATGTTCTGTAGTAACAGTCTCTGATTCAACCTCAGGGATATCAGCAAATATGAGATTGTCCCTCATAGAACGGCACCTCTGATCTAACACATACTCTTTTATTTGCATACTTTCCTTTTGTAGATTCATCACCTTTTGTTGATTCAATGGCGCTGACTTTCCCTTTGAGTGAGTCAAGCTCAGCTACTTTAATTTCTAGCCTGGCTACCTAGGTCTGTATATCTGACACAGATTTCTCAATGGAGTCTAACTTTGACAATTTGTTATTGATCTCACTGAGAGCATTCAAAATGTTCGGATCAGTTGCTTGATGTTGTTGTTGACTAAAGTAGTTCTGACCTGGGTTGTTGTGTGGGAGCGGTGAGCTCATGAGCTGTGGCGGACCGTACACGGACATCATGGCCTCCCTCACAGCAGCTCCGATGTCAACAACAGGTGACGTGGCTGAGTTAGTAGTACTCTCTGGAGTGTCTGGTAGCTTCTTCCTCTTCGCAGACTGATCGCCAGACTTGACTTTCTTCTTATCACTCATTTTCTATGAGCAATTACAGCGGTGGAGTTAAAATCTCAGCAATTTTAGTAAAAGGGTCGGACACGATTCAAAACACGCCCGCCATCTTGGTGACGTCAATGGATACAACTCTTGTGTTGTTATTGTGTCTGGCTTCCTAATCCCCATTGTACTGTACAAACATCTGCTCTAACTTGTATATATGCTCCTTCATCCTTATGCTGTTCATCACTTGCTTGATAACGGTGTTAGAATATACACCGTAACGTCGCTCTCGCTGTAATAAAGAAGTTGTTCATCCATATAGTGTTACCCTTCCTTACTGCAGCAACTTCTAAACGTCTCTCAAAGAAGTTAACTAAGAGATCAATTCATAATGACGTGCTTGACGTAATGACGTACTTGACGTAATGACGTGCTGGTGTACATCCATGTTTGATATGGTGACCGAAACGTGTATTGTCGGTTATATGTTATGTCGGTGCAGATGGGTTACTTTCTCATGTTTTTGTCGTGAAAGTGTCAATATGCAATTATTCTTTGGAAAGAGCGAGTAAGAGAGTATGGTTGTACACGCCCAAGTCAGTACTATTCCAGTTATTTGTGCTATGAAACAGAAGTATACTTTCTTCACTGTAGTATAATCTTTAGAGAAGTTATTTTTAGGCCATTTGAAGTTATGTGATCATTGTTCTTTAGAAGACCATATTCATCTATAAGAGACTTGACGCCCGTCACATTACTTATTTAGGCAGTCAAGCATTATCATTTTATTGTGTTAATCAATGACTTGGCAAAAAATAATTTTAAATATATATATATATATATAAAGAAAGTGATGAGAATACCTAGCATACAGTAGTACATACAGTATACAGTAGTATATAGATATATATATATATATATAAATAATGATATATGCAAATGATAATGCACTAAAAAATAGCATTACCCTTATAATGTATATATATGTATATGTGTGTGTGTGTGTGTGCATTATTATGATCCAGCCAGAAGCGAATACAGAAAGGATTATTACAAATTCCGTTAGTCTAATTTCAGATATTGTTACGTGTGTGTGTACGTGTGTGTGTGTGTGTGTGTGTGTGTGTGTGTGTGTGAGTGAGATTATGATCCAGCCAGGAGCGAATACAGAAAGGATTATTACAAATTCCGTTAGTCTAATTTCAGATATTGTTACGTACACCTTTTTAATTATCAGACAGACAGTTTATTTAAATCTCACCAAGGGTTCACAGAATATATATATATGATGTGAATTTAACAAGAGTAAAAGTACCCTAGTAATTCTTTATAGATTTATGAGAGACTGTAGGAGACAATCTAAAATAAAACTGGCAAATGTTAGTAAAAGGATATCAAAATATACAACATTTCATGGTGTCATCCCAAAACATAACATTATCAGCTAATTAGTTTGTTATCTCGCTAAATATTTTTTTAAAAAACGTTCCTAGAAACTATATAAACCAACTCGGATATTTGGAAATCACATATTTTAATACATATATGTAAATTATAAAATTAATAAATCAGTCGAGAATATTTTGTGAATATGGGCAAACATGCAGCTCATTCCATACGAAAACAACAGACTAAGTGCATGTTCACCATTGTGTATTACGTATCATTCATTTCCACACGTTTTGTGGTCAAAGGGACGTAATTTTGACTTCACAAACACATTTCATAGGGCTTATTTGATCTCTTTAGAACTGTGATTATATATTTGGGGACCTTGTATCACCAGAATCCGCCCTAACTATGTATAGGCTATCCAGGAAACGCATTAGAGAATGTGGAACAAAACAAACTTCATAAAAATTGAAAAACCTGTAAAAAAGCGCCTGTAAAATCACGTGTCCCCTGCAATGCGGAAGTAGGAAGGTCAGGAAATACATCGTCTGCGCATGGCAATCTGACATTGGGGTATTTCCCAAGTAGGGCGGCTGGTTCCCGTGACTTGTGGGAGATTGTTATGCTAAACATTGTCATACGATGGCATTGAAAAGAATAAATAAGGTAAGATCGAACGGAAGGCATCGGCCGATCAATGTATGATCTAATGGAGGTATCTGAAACACATTTAGTGCCGTTTCAGAGTCGACAAACATTCAACTGCCCGCTAATCAGCAACTCGTGTCATCGCCGGTTTTGGCGACAAAAATCCAGAATTCATTCAGATTTGATCGCTTACTCGTTCACGAAAACGAGAAATATAGGACCTATTGTACAGTAAAATAACACGTGGTGTGAATATTGTTTCGGAACATGAGCCAAATTATGAACGACGACGTCAGCAGTAAGTAACGCTATGGCTGACTCTTAGTATTTATGGGTCACTGATCACGAACATTTTGTCTATTTGTGTAAAATAATCCTATGGTAACCGTAAATAGTTAGCTGTGTTATTGTTTACTCTACCCGGAATATAAGTCGTAAATCTGACCTTAGTCGAAAACCGTGTCACCTACTGAGCTTCCTGTGTTAAAACATGTTACCATAGTTAAAATACTTTCACATAAAACCCGTTTTATGTTGTGTTTTCAACATCGCTGGTTTAGGAAATGACGTTGCTATTAGAAACTTGTACACAAGGTTACTAACGAAACACTGATATAAGTCATGATTGACCTGGATTTATTTATAGCAGACTTTGACCTGAGCATATTCCAAGTTGAAAAGACCTACAAGGAGTTGTGTTGCCCTGTCCTATCTGAAAACTAAAACTACCTTTACTTGGTCGGAGAATATGGTGTTCACTATGATGTTTGTTTGTTATTTAACTTTACACTCAGCAATATTCCAGCTAAATAATTGAGTCAAGACCAGACAATCCAGTGATCAACAGCATCAGCATCAATCTATGCAGTTGGGATACAATGACATATGTCAACCAAGACAGTGAGCCTGACCAACCGATCATGTTTGTCGCCTCTTTCTACAAGCATGGGTTGTTGAATAGCAAATCTAGTCTGAATCTTAATGGGTCTGTTTAATATGGGAAATGCCCCCAAAAGGTACCTCTGTGGACAAGCAGTTTGTTTGAAAAAACATATATGCCAATCCCAGTTCAGACTCTTATCATAATGCTAAAAAGATGCTGCTTGAAGCCAGCAAGGTCGTTCAGGCATTTTTGCACGTCATATGACATACAACGTGTATGTATTGCTTTGTCCTTTCAAATATACTATTAAAAAAGTAGAGGATATTCAATGAAATGGTGTCACAACTAGTAATATTTTATAATCAATGAATTTCACAGTGCATCAAGGACATCTAACTGAGGTTTACTTTTGTTGTTGAACATCAGATGAACATAGATTTAGATAATGAACCAAAGCGTCATATTGTCAATCACATCATATACCATGAAAAGTCAAATTCCTTAATACATTGTGAGTATGTCTCTTTTCTCAAAACGATCCCAGATTTGTTCTCAGTAATGATAAGAGTCCTGTGCGCTCTTGCAATGTTGCATTGTCATCCTGAAACACAAAATAATGTTCATGTTGGCACGCAAATGGATCCACATGTGCTACCATGTTGGCACTTCCATGAATAATATCTAGAGATGTTCTGCCAGTCACAGAGTTCCCACTCCTTGCCATGACTGAGCCAGCCCCAGAATGATTGTACTATCTAACGTTAATGGCATGAGAATGACCGTTCTGCGTACGCCCCACTCTGCTGCACCTGTGTAGGTAGTCCAAAGTAAACCTTGATTCATCTGGAAACATAATGTTTGCCCAACAGTGATTGATCCAGCATTGTTGCTCTTGATACCAACAGCGTCTGACAGTAGTGTGACAGTCTGTCAGCCATTGGATGTCACAAGGACATTTCGGCATGCAGGTTCCATCTGTGTAGCCGATTACGAATCAGTCTGTCTACCCAGGCTAACACCAGTAGCTCTGAAGTTTGTCTCCAATTTGTGAGGCACGTTGACCGTGGTTTTGTAACACAGTCGTTCTGATGAAACAGTCTTGTGTGCCAGTTGTTGCCCTTGGTTGACCAGATCAACTTCTGTCATCAGTGTTATTTATCAGTCAATATAATAGCAACATAAACATAATACCTCGCTACTTCTGCACAGTGGGAAAGTTTTCTTTGGTAGGCCTGATAATGTGCCTGAGTGTGGTATTCATGCTTAAATGCGGCATGGTATCTCAGTGAGCTAGCACTATAAAACCAGCTTCAGTCTGGGCTAGTACAAGCAGCCGCACATACACATACACATACACACGCATGTCGTCATATGAGCGAAATATTCTTCAGTATGTTGCTGTAATGTAGCAATCAAGCCGACATTTCATAAATGGCATGAGTGAAAGCGTAGGTAAGATATACATAGAGTTTGATAAACCTGTGAAGCTCCAGGTTAGAACTGGGCCACTGGTCTTCAGCAACCTGACTGACAGGATGGGTGATGCATGATGATTGCATCATAGTTGCATAAGTGTTCATGCGTCAATCACTGGATTGTCTGGTCCATACTGAATTATCTACAGACAACCCTCATATAGCCGGAACAGTGTGACAATGACATTGAACAACAAGCAAACAAAAGCCGAGTTAGTTTTGAGACTGTGTTTGCTAGCCGTGTTATACAAGTATGACTGATGTGTGTATTGGCCATAATATTTCCCAGTCCTGTTCAACAGTTCAGGATGACTGCTACATAACCGCTTTATATTTCTGAGTGTTGTAATGGATTTGAACTACTGACCTGAACTGACCGAGGTTGGACGCCTTGTCCACATGACCAAAGAGATTAACCATATCAACAGTGTGACAAGGTGAGTATGTTCTCTGTGGGGCAACTCTGGACTGCTCAAGTGCTGAGAGGGAGTTCTACTGTGACCTGTGGCATTTAGTCGCATGCTAGTCCTGTAACGCTTGAGGAACCTTTCGTTGCTGGTTCTGAGAGCCTTAACATATTATGTTACATAGTTTGGAGGGTAGATTGGTGGGGGCAGTCCTTAGATGTTTTTAAAGCTAGGGTTGGTTGGTTGGTTGATTTGTTGTTTAACGCCGCACTCAGCAATATTCCAGCTGTATGGCGGTGGTCTTTAAATAATCAAGTCTGGACCAGACAATCCAATGATCAACAGCATGAGCATCAATCTACGAAATTGGGATGCAATGACATTTGAAGCTAGGGACCCTTGATGTATTACCAATAACATGACAGCTAGGACCGTAGCTGTTTTTTTCTGTACATTTGCTTTATGTTTTGTTAATTACTTAAATGTAAAGGATGATATTTATCAGGTCTACAAGTTCACTGGTTCAAATTCAACATGTTCATGAAATAGTACATCTTTAAATCCTAACCTTTACCAAAACTGATGATCATACTTAAAGATGACTCATAACATCATTTACAAGTTATTTTTAACTGAGTTTGTGTAGAAACAAAGAACTGACCTAAAGCAAAGGGTGTGCCTACATTTCATTGACCGTGTTGACCAGCTAGGATAGTTGGTGTCTTCCTGCATGCTCATGCCCACCAACTGATTGTCACAGTAACCTTTACCTTTAATTAAATGAATGTCTATACAGGGCTACAGATAAGAGCCGTACACTCGTAATGTACGCCTCAATATCAATGAAGTACGACATAATATAACATTTCAAGCGTATCATGTACGCACATAAATATCTTTGTACGTCTAACATTTAATGTCTGTGCGTATCGTACAAATGGAAAATCTATTTCGGATAAATACTTGTTGTCAAGAGGTTCTTTTCCAACACGATTTGACACATGAGGAAACCCCCGCAGTGGGAATCCCTTGCGTTGCCATGCAACGATATGCGTCACTATTTTTCGATTGGCTAACCAGTACCTGTGTTGGTTGTTGTTGTTGGCTATACAGCACCTGTGTTGGTTGTTGTTGGCTATACAGCACCTGTGTTGGTTGTTGTTGGCTATACAGCACGTGTGTTGGTTGTTGTTGTTGGCTATACAGCACCTGTGTTGGTTGTTGTTGTTGTTGGCTATAGAGCACCTGTGTTGGTTGTTGTTGGCTATACAGCACGTGTATTGGTTGTTGTTGGCTATACAGCACGTGTGTTGGTTGTTGTTGTTGGCTATACAGCACCTGTGTTGGTTGTTGTTGGCTATACAGCACGTGTGTTGGTTGTTGTTGTTGGCTATACAGCACGTGTGTTGGTTGTTGTTGGCTATACAGCACGTGTGTTGGTTGTTGTTGGCTATACAGCACCTGTGTTGGTTGTTGTTGGCTATACAGCACGTTGTGTTGGTTGTTGTTGGCTGTTGGCTATACAGCACCTGTGTTGGTTGTTGTTGGCTATACAGCACCTGTGTTGGTTGTTGTTGTTGGCTATACAGCACCTGTGTTGGTTGTTGTTGTTGGCTATACAGCACCTGTGTTGGTTGTTGTTGTTGGCTATACAGCACGTGTGTTGGTTGTTGTTGGCTATACAGCACCTGTGTTGGTTGTTGTTGTTGGCTATACAGCACCTGTGTTGGTTGTTGTTGTTGGCTATACAGCACCTGTGTTGGTTGTTGTTGTTGGCTATACAGCACGTGTGTTGGTTGTTGTTGGCTATACAGCACCTGTGTTGGTTGTTGTTGGCTATACAGCACCTGTGTTGGTTGTTGTGGCCATACAGCACCTGTGTTGGTTGTTGGCTATACAGCACCTGTGTGTTTGTTGTTGTTGGCTATACAGCACCTGTGTTGGTTGTTGTTGGCTAGCTACAGCACCTGTGTTGGTTGTTGTTGGCTATACAGCACCTGTGTTGGTTGTTGTTGTTGGCTATACAGCACCTGTGTTGGTTGTTGTTGTTGGCTATACAGCACCTGTGTTGGTTGTTGTTGTTGGCTATACAGCACCTGTGTTGGTTGTTGTTGTTGGCTATACAGCACGTGTGTTGGTTGTTGTTGGCTATACAGCACCTGTGTTGGTTGTTGTTGGCTATACAGCACCTGTGTTGGTTGTTGTTGGCTATACAGCACCTGTGTTGGTTGTTGTTGTTTGCTATACAGCACCTGTGTTGGTTGTTGTTGGCTATACAGTACCTGTGTTGGTTGTTGTTGGCTATACAGCACCTGTGTTGGTTGTTGTTGGCTATACAGCACCTGTGTTGGTTGTTGTTGTTGTTGGCTATACAGCACCTGTGTTGGTTGTTGGCTATACAGCACCTGTGTTGGTTGTTGTTGGCTATACAGCACGTGTGTTGGTTGTTGTTGTTGTTGGCTATACAGCACCTGTGTTGGTTGTTGTTGTTGGCTATACAGCACCTGTGTTGGTTGTTGTTGGCTATACAGCACCTGTGTTGGTTGTTGTTGGCTATACAGCACCTGTGTTGGTTGTTGTTGTTGGCTATACAGCACGTGTGTTGGTTGTTGTTGGCTATACAGCACGGGTGTTGGTTGTTGGCTATACAGCACCTGTGTTATTGTTGTTGGCTATACAGCACCTGTGTTGGTTGTTGTTGGCTATACAGCACCTGTGTTGGTTGTTGTTGTTGGCTATACAGCACCTGTGTTGGTTGTTGTTGGCTATACAGCACGTGTGTTGGTTGTTGTTGTTGGCTATACAGTACCTGTGTTGGTTGTTGTTGGCTATACAGCACCTGTGTTGGTTGTTGTTGGCTATACAGCACGCGGTGTTGGTTGTTGTTGTTGTTGCTATACAGCACCTGTGTTGGTTGTTGTTGGCTATACAGCACGTGTGTTGGTTGTTGTTGGCTATACAGCACCTGTGTTGGTTGTTGTTGGCTATACAGCACCTGTGTTGGTTGTTGTTGGCTATACAGCACCTGTGTTGGTTGTTGTTGTTGGCTATACAGCACCTGTGTTGGTTGTTGTTGTTGCTATACAGCACGCTGTGTTGGTTGTTGTTGGCTATACAGCACCTGTGTTGGTTGTTGTTGGCTATACAGCACCTGTGTTGGTTGTTGTTGTTGGCTATACAGCACCTGTGTTGGTTGTTGTTGTTGGCTATACAGCACCTGTGTTGGTTGTTGTTGGCTATACAGCACCTGTGTTGGTTGTTGTTGTTGGCTATACAGCACCTGTGTTGGTTGTTGGCTATACAGCACCTGTGTTGGTTGTTGTTGGCTATACAGCACCTGTGTTGGTTGTTGTTGGCTATACAGCACCTGTGTTGGTTGTTGTTGTTGGCTATACAGCACCTGTGTTGGTTGTTGTTGGCTATACAGCACCTGTGTTGGTTGTTGTTGGCTATACAGCACCTGTGTTGGTTGTTGTTGGCTATACAGCACCTGTGTTGGTTGTTGTTGGCTATACAGCACCTGTGTTGGTTGTTGTTGTTGGCTATACAGCACCTGTGTTGGTTGTTGTTGGCTATACAGCACCTGTGTTGGTTGTTGTTGGCTATACAGCACCTGTGTTGGTTGTTGGCTATACAGCACCTGTGTTGGTTGTTGTTGGCTATACAGCATGTGTGTTGGTTGTTGTTGTTTGCTATACAGCACCTGTGTTGGTTGTTGTTGGCTATACAGCACCTGTGTTGGTTGTTGTTGGCTATACAGCACCTGTGTTGGTTGTTGTTGTTGGCTATACAGCACCTGTGTTGGTTGTTGTTGGCTATACAGCACCTGTGTTGTTGTTGTTGGCTATACAGTACCTGTGTTGGTTGTTGTTGGCTATACAGCACCTGTGTTGGTTGTTGTTGTTGTTGGCTATACAGCACCTGTGTTGGTTGTTGTTGTTGGCTATACAGCACCTGTGTTGGTTGTTGTTGTTGGCTATACAGCACCTGTGTTGGTTGTTGTTGGCTATACAGCACCTGTGTTGGTTGTTGTTGTTGGCTATACAGCACGTGTGTTGGTTGTTGTTGGCTATACAGCACGTGTTGGTTGTTGGCTATACAGTACCTGTGTTGGTTGTTGTTGGCTATACAGCACCTGTGTTGGTTGTTGTTGTTGGCTATACAGCACCTGTGTTGGTTGTTGTTGTTGGCTATACAGCACCTGTGTTGGTTGTTGTTGGCTATACAGCACGTGTGTTGGTTGTTGGCTATACAGTACCTGTGTTGGTTGTTGTTGGCTATACAGCACCTGTGTTGGTTGTTGTTGGCTATACAGCACGTGTGTTGGTTGTTGTTGTTGGCTATACAGCACCTGTGTTGGTTGTTGTTGGCTATACAGCACCTGTGTTGGTTGTTGTTGGCTATACAGCACCTGTGTTGGTTGTTGTTGTTGGCTATACAGCACCTGTGTTGGTTGTTGTTGTTGGCTATACAGAGTGTGTGTTTGTTGTTCCAGGAGCTTCAGGACCTGAACAAAGACCCTCCAGCCAGCTGCTCAGCAGGACCGGTCGGAGATGACAGTGAGAATACAATCTATTATTTTACTTTCACTTCACTTATGTTCTATTGTCAGTCTGCAGTTAAGCCTACTTAGTCCTCCATCTGACTGAAGTCTTCAATGTAGTATTCGACTTCTGATTGTGTTGATTATTACTGTACTAGTGTTTTGCGTTACAATCCCTGTGTTTTATCATCAATGCACAACATGGACTACATGCTCTTGTCCATCCAGCAGGTGAACAGTACATTTGCCTTATAGAAAGGCAGGAAGTAGTCATGAGTCGTTCTGTATGTATGATACAGGGGTGGGTATCCATAATACTAACATTATGAAGGAGCAAGTAATTTGAAACTTTGTATATGTGTGATAAATACTTTGTTATCGATAATGTTATTCCTTGTCATGTGTTTATCTCACTCCTAAATGTGGGGCGGTGGGGTAGCCTATTGGTTAAAGCGTCCGCTCGTCACGCCGAAGACCCGGGTTTGAATCTCCACATGGACACAATGTGTGAAGCCCATTTCTGGTGTCCCCGCTGTGATATTGCTGGACTATTGCTAAAAGCGGCGTAAAACTATATTCGCTCACTCACTCCTAAATGTCTGACTCTCATCTCATTTGGCACCTGCATTTCTCATTACACACCATCGGTGAATTACCGTCCCATAAATAATTGGATAAGGTGGATGAGAAAACATTTTTAATTATGAGGTTCTGGGGGTTCTGTCTTTTTAGTCTTCACTGTTTTGCTACAATTCAGAAAGCATTAAAGTATAGTCCTTGCTTTGTGTTGGGGTCAGCATCACTTAATCGCTAATGCTGAGGAAGGTCCAAAGTAGGAAGGGTTGATCAGACTTTGTAAGCACCTGCTACAGAAAATGTGATAGGTCTTCCTTGTATATCCAATGATCATATGGCGAAAACATAACAGAGACTCACAACAACCCTAGCATGAAGATTGCTTTCTGAAACTATGCCCTCCTAGACGGAGCAGGTCTTGAAATGTAACTGCCATTTCCAACTGACATAGCCATTATAATATTACAATCAGCAAAACAATATGAGTGCAATGGTTACAATGTTCAGGGGTGGAAATAACCGATTGCCCGACATCCAAGTCCAGTGTTGTTTTCTGTTGGGCAAGCAAATTTGTATATCACACTGTACCGGTGTCCAGTTGACTTTCCAATGTAAATTATGTTGTTTATTTAAAAAATCAACAAGAAAACGGCAAGTATAGTGGAAAAATTATCAGGGCAAGTGATGTTACATGTGCCACTGTACCGGAGTACACTATCAATTTTAAAGTTATTTCCACCCCTGATGTTGTAAGTGATCGGTGACTGTACAGTTAGTCTATGTTAAAGTATGTCAGTTATGATCATCTTAGAGTGAGTGAGTTTAGTCTTGGACATGACTAGCGAACACTCTAACCACTAGGCTACCCTACCACCCCAATCATTGTCAGATTACTTCATAGAAGAGTCTCAGTGTTCTTTGTGTTGAGGTGATCATAACTCCCACACCATAACACAGACTTTCAACAATCATCATAGCCCTGACTCTGTTTTGCTGAACTCCTCCCTCAGGCCTACCAAAGAAAACTTTCCCACTGTGCAGAAAAACCCAAGAAAAGCCCACATTATTCGTGGAATTAGCAACATAAACATATCACCTCGCTACTGAAACAGTAAAACCGGCAACTTTAAATCGCTAAAACTGGATAAAAAACGAAGCGCCTGCAACTTTGATTTTGCGCATGCGCACATGGAAGAGGAAGCCTCTGCCGCATGTTGACATTTTCCAGCTTGGATAAAAGTTACATTCCCTTTTTAAAGTATTTCTGTTGTGTTATTTGGCATTTGGCATCATCATACTTGTGTCCACACTGTTTAGTTTACTTTCCATTCGTATGAAATGATTGACAGCAATTATTTCAACATATTCAATACATGTTCTCGTGCGCGAAGCCATTCACAGTTGCTCGGAAATTTTAAAGAAGCTCAGATCACATAAAGAGCATGCGCAGTAGAGGTCAAAGTTCGGTGATTTAAAAATGTTGCAGTTTCATAGTCTTTCGTTGCCGTTTTTACTGTTTCGGTAGCGAGGTAATATGTTTATGTTGCTATTTCCACGATCAATGTGGGCTTTTCTGCGTTTTTCTGCACAGTGGGAAAGTTTTCTTTGGTAGGCCTGTCCCTGGTGTTTAATATATCATACACTATTTCTTGTCACAGCATACAGTTTGATCTGTTCTGTATTTGTTTCAGTGTTCCACTGGCAAGCAACAATAATGGGTCCTGTAAGTATGCTCCTCTTACTAAGTCTTTTCAAGGTAGAGAGAAATCATGAAATAATGTCAGAAAATTGAGTATTTGGATGCTGAGAGAAAATGGAATTGCTATCAAGGTCTGACAGCACTGTGTGGTCTTCAACAACAAACAAACAAAAAGGAATCAATTGTTTTGCTTTGCTCTTTCAGCAGGAGTCCCCCTTTTATGGAGGCGTGTTCTACCTGTCGATCCATTTTCCCGCCGATTATCCTTTCAAGCCTCCCAAGGTAGGAGAGTGTCGTGGAAGGTGTTTGGCCTTCAAACTGTTCTGCAGTTCTCTATGTAGTTCTCACAGTAGAACTGCATTATTGTATGACTCAGGCAGGGATAGAAGTACTTTTTTTTCTAAGTGTGCTTTAGGGCACCAGACAAATGTTTTAGGTGTGCCTTTCAGAAATTGAGTATGCCCACATGTTTTTAGAATAAATGACAATGATGATGATCATTTGAAATTTATTGTTAAATAAAGAAATGGGATTATGAGCATTTAAATATGTATGGTATTATTCAATTTGGAAAAAAATAATTGTTTGGGGATTAAATGACTAAATGTGAGTTATGTCTCTGAAAAATCAGGCTTGTCAAAAGGGCACCGAGAACATTTTTTAGCCGTGCCATTTCAATATTTACCGTGCCATGGCACCCTAATATATGGGGTATTTCGAACCCTGGACTGGTATGTCGCAATACGCAGTTTGTAAATGTTTGAATGTTCCAATATATTGAGTGAAAAAACATTACACATTTTGTGAATATCTCTATTACTGTTTCCCTTTCTAATTAACTGACAAAATGGCATAATTCACATACTGTATATTACTGTAGATAATTTGCTCTCTTAGATAAGCCAAAGTCCTAACTTGACCCTTAAAATCAGTATCAAAATGGTGCGTCCATACATACACGCTGTAATCTTAATCCCTGCATATAATACAAAGCCGAGCAACAACAAATTAGAACTGAAAAGGTAAATAATCTTCTCTAATGATGTTTAATTGCAAATTTGACAATTTTTCTTGTTCGTTCAAGAGAAGAAATACGATGTGGTTTTCTTGCCACCAGAAAAACAGGTTTTCACTATTCCAACCTGATTTCACGTTTGATGTTTTTAGAACCATAACATATATTTTTAGTGTCTTAGTGTGTCGAAAATATGATCTGTCATGCAATTAGTGTCACTCACTATCAAACACTTCAGCTCCCAATGTAGCAGAATCCGGATACCTGTTTCACGAAGTGTTACAAAACAATATGTTTGCCAATAGACAGCCCCACTCCAGAGTATGCAAGTACATGTATGTTTGAAACAAATATCACAGCCTGGTCTGTGAGGGGTAATCTAGTATACAATGCCCAAAATCCAACTGTTAGCCACAGTGATACAATGGTTCTTGATGTGCATGATAATGGCGGGCGGCGGTGGGGTAGCCTAGTGGTTAAAGCATTGGCTCGTCACACCGAAGACCCGGGTTCGAATCCCCACATGGGTACAATGAGTGAAGCCCATTTCTGGTGTCCCCCGCCGTGATATTGCTGGAATATTGCTAAAAGCGGTGTAAAACCAAACTCAGTCAGTCAGTGATAATGGCGGACTATGGTCAATGGAAAATTTTCCCTTATAAATCCAAATACTCCACTGTGGGAATACTGCTTAGTTGCTGATCTAAGATGTCCAATTATGTTCCAGCTGGCGTTCACCACAAGAATCTATCATCCGAACATCAACAGCAATGGCAGTATCTGTTTGGATATACTCAGGTCACAGTGGTCGCCAGCTCTCACTATCTCAAAAGGTAACATTCCACGTTATTGTAGTCGATTGATAGGGGCTTTCCTGTTGGTTCCAGAAAACACTAGTGGCACAGTGGAGTAAGGAATCAATACATGCACTACCAGGTTGCATTCTTTGTCAGGGTGAGCTTGTTGTGGGTTTGAACCCCAGACAGTCCCACTCGTGGCACAGTGGAGTAAGGAATCAATACATGCAGTACCAGGTTGCATTCTTTGTCAGGGTGAGCTTGTTGTGGGTTTGAACCCCAGACAGTCCCACTAGTGGCACAGTGGAGTAGGAATCAATACATGCAGTACCAGGTTGCATTCTTTGTCAGGGTGAGCTTGTTGTGGGTTTGAACCCCAGACAGTCCCACTAGTGGCACAGTGGAGTAAGGAATCAATACATGCACTACCAGGTTGCATTCTTTGCCAGGGTGAGCTTGTTGTGGGTTTGAACCCCAGACAGTCCCACTAGTGGCACAGTGGAGTAGGGAATCAATACATGCAGTTCCCGGTTGCTTTATTTGTCAGGGTGAGCTTGTTGTGGGTTTGAACCCCAGACAGTCCCTGATTATGATCCCTGACATTAGTGGTTGATGAGTGCTAAATGTCTGCAACCTGGTTGCCAGCTCTCACCATCTGAATGGTAGTATCTACATTCATGGATTTGTGAGGATAGATAGAACCAACCAACGGAGTGTTTGGTCCAAGTGTACAGTCCCACGAAATACAACTGTGTCCCTCCATTAGCCCTACACCCTATAGAGAGTCCAGATTATAGTACTTCAGGGGTAGCCCAGTGGTTAAAGTGTTTGCCCATCACGCTAAGACCTGAGTTTCCCACAAGGGTACAATGTGCAAAGCCCATTTTTGGTCTCCCCCACCGTGATATTGCTGGAATAGTGCTAAAAGCGGGATGGAAGTTCACTCACTCACTCACTCACTCACTCACTCACTCACTCACTCACTCACTCACTCACTCACTCACTCACTCACTCACTCACTCACTCACTCACCCACCCACCCACCCACCCACTCACTCACTCACTCACTCACTCACCAGCATCACACACTGGTTGTACAACTTGACCAGATACATCAGGTCACTGAGAACCAGAGAAAGGGAACATTCTGTATTGTACTGTTCGATCTAAAGACACTTGTTGATGGCATCACACATACTCACTGGATTGTCAGGTCCAAACTCAATAGACCTCTTCATATAGCTAGTATATTGCTGAATGTCATTTAATAATATATCACAGGGGTGGAAATAACCCATTGCCCGACGTCCACGTCCTGTGTTTTTTTCTCTCAGGCAAGCAAAATTGTATTTCACTCTGTACCGGTGTCCAGTTGACTTTCCAATGTTAATTATGTTGTTTATTTGAAAATCAACAAGAAACTTGGCCGGTATAGTGGGAAAATTATCAGGGCAAGGGATTACATGTGCCACTGTACCGGAGTACACGAGCAATTTTAAAGTTATTTCCACCCCTGTATCAACAAACAAACAGCATTGGTGGATCACATACCCAGTACCAGTACAATGTGCAAGAGTTGATTACGATGTCAACTGTTCGCATAGGCCATTGTTCTATTCATAATGGGGCGGTGGGTTAGCCTAATGGTTAAAGCGTTGGCTCGTCACGCCGAAGACCCGGGTTCGAATCCCCACATGGGTACAATGTGTGAAGCCCATTTCTGGTGTCCCCCGCCGTGATTTTGCTGGAATATTGCTAAAAGCGGCGTAAAACCAAACTCAGTCGGTCAGTCTTTTCGAATGCCTCAAAATCGCTTTGGCGGTAGTTAAAGGGTTCACTCGCAATGCCAAAGACCCAGGTTTGATTCCCCAATGTCAGCGTTTGAAATACCTGCCTGCTCAACCGCCCGGAATGGGTTATTTTCAACACGGACTGCCAGATTCTCAAATCCACCTGCCCTACAGTCGGGTTAAAATTTAGACCTGTATATAGTGATATTCATCATGTTTAGGGATAGTTAATCATTATTAAGTCACTTGTAGAAACAAATGAGGAATAGCACTTGGATGATAAGCTACGTCACTTGTCAAACCTAAATTATTTGCGTGGGGTAAGTTTTGGTCAGGGCTGGCAAGTATTACATCTAACCAGCCCTGTGGTCTGGCTGAATTTTTGGGGAGTTTCATACCCTGCCAATGTGAAGATCTTTCCTGCAGGGGAAAACCAAACTCATTCACTCAAAAATGAAAAAAGCTGTAATTTTTTAAACTTATCCCTTCTCACGACTTGCACCTCTCTCTCTTGCTTCGACTTTTAGTGGAACGACTGTAAACTTTTTTCCATAGGCCTCCTTGTCCATTCGCCCGTGCACTCCATGCTGCTCTCCTTAATTAGCTTCCTAGTTCCTAATAAAGCTTGCAGCATGCTCCACTAATTGCCCACGTGACTACCTTGAATGATCATTCTCTTTCTTGTCGCACGACTGTGTGGACGTGCTGTATATTAGGGACATTATTTCACCCTAACATTATGGGGAAAACTGATAATCAGTCAAGGAAAAGGAAAGTTTGTGCTCAATGCAAGACGAATTATTCGTCCCTCGACCCTAACTTGTCTTGCAGTGACTGTATTGGACAATGTAACTGGAACAAACTATGTGGCAAGTGTAATTCACTAAAAGATGAGGATTTTAAGGCCTACCTTTGTGTTTGCTCCCGGAGAATCGCCGATAGGGATAGGAAATCAACAGAATCTGATCCCATTCCCACCAAGCGTATCAAGTTACAGCGACAGAAAATCGTACCTTCACGCAAGAGAGCGACGTCTGTGGTTCTAGAGGATCTTATGGACGCTTCATCAGATTCTTACTTATCTGAGGACGTTCGGCACCTATTACGTACACATCAATCACCTCCTTCCATAGCGTCAGATCACTCACGGGTGGTTGTGATCGATAATTCTTCGTTGCCTGTCCCATCTACACTACCAGGGGACCGTAGATCGACACTATCATCATCCAGATCATCGGTACATATCCCCTGGACTGTTTCAGTTTGTTTGGAGCCTGGCCAACCGCGTTCAACCAGCCAACTGTCTCCCCACAGTTCATTGAACCGGACGGAGCTGGCTACAACAGCGTCGCCGGGGGGATGTTCATCATGAATCAACACTTCAGGTTTTGTCACCTAATCGCCGATCCAGATCGCCACATCATTCTACATCACTACAACGATCTAGATCACCTTCACGATCCAGATCGACATCACAAGCCCAATCTAGATCACTGTGCCGATCCAGATCACAGTCACGATCCAGAGCACAACTACGATCCACCTCACCTGATCAATCCAGATCACCTAACCGATCCAGATCCCCAAACGGGTCCAGATCACAACTTCGAATCAGATCACCGGACAGATCCAGATCACCTAGCCGATCCAGATCACAACATCGAAGTAGATCATCAGACCGATCCAGATCACCAAATGGATCCACATCACAACCTCGAATTAGATCACCGGACCGATCTAGGTCACCTAACCAATCCAGATCACAACGTGGAAGTATATCGCCAGACCGATCCGGATCACCAAATCAAGCCAGATCGCAACTGCAAACCAGATCACCTGTTCGATCCAGATCACGATCACAGTTTCCAGTTATTGCATCGAATCGATCCAGATCACTTTACAAATCCAGATCATCTTACCAGGCCAGGTCACCTATACGATCTAGATCACCTTACAGAGCCATTGACCAATCGGGCTCACAGTACAGATCCACATCTCATGGCCGATCCTATTCAGATGGTCGAACCAGAGCTCCAATCAGAACCAGATCACCAACTAGAACTACAGCGACCCGGACTAGTTCTTCATATCATACCGGATCACCTAGCCATACTAGGGAATCCAGATCACCACGTCAAGATCTCGATACAGTTCCTCTGACCGACGCTCGGGTGATCATTGCTCTAATACCACTAATAGGCCTCCAGTCTCTTATGATGTTCCGTCTACACGCTCTGTGAATCCTTCGACTCACTCTAGGATCATCGCTGAGTCATGGGAACCTGATAACAATCCCACTCCTACAGCGACTCCAGATCTAAATATGATGATCAGGGCCATAACCTCAGCCTGGAACCAAATACAGCCTTCTACTCCAGCCCATCCGGCTTCAGTAGCTCTTGGCTCTTCATCTGGTCCACCTCCTGAGATTGATCCAGTCTAAATAGCCATGCCTGCATCTCCCGCACACTCTGAGTTATCTACCCCTGGGGGTAGCTTTGCAGCAGTTGAGACACCTCAGGTACTCCTGTGGATGGTTGAGAAGCTCCAACTTCCCTTGAGTACTTCAGCAGATGACCTGGATCACTCTTATACTCTTAGAAACCGGGATTGGTCTACCATCACCCTACCACCTCGACCTTGTATTCTGAAATTATCCAGTACACTGAATGATGGTTTCAAGAGCCTGAAACGAATTTTGGACGGATTCTCTGCTCCCAGATATAATCCTTCTACCTCTCATGTCCACGGCCTAACAAAAATCTGTACGGCTCCAACAGTTGATGAGGATATTGGAACCCTGTGTGGCAAACGAGCTGCTCGCCCTACCTTATTGAGGACCGAGAGTTGGCTCACATGGATTCAGCCGTGAGAAAGACGTTGCCATCTATTAGTTGCGTGATTGCAGCAGTCGACGCTGTTAACACTGCTCTGGAGCACACTTACTCTGATCAAGACGCTTACATCCGAGGATGCATGACTGGACCAGTTCCAAATTATCCTGGATCAGTTGTCTCATTTTTGGGGCTACACTCTTGCTGTTCGCCGACGTGGACCCCTTAACATCTCTTCATGGGAGGAGCGATTTAAAACAGAACTGTTTCGCTAGCCTTGGTTTACTGACTCCCTCTTCAATGGTAGCGTCCAAGAAGTATCTAATAAAGTTGATAAAGAAACCCACTTTCAAGTCTCGATTGAACTGTTAAAGATACAGAAGTCACAGCTCCAGGACTCATTAAAACAGCGTCGAACTGCACAGTTCACCCCTACCAATCCGGATTTACGCAATCTTTTTCGTGTCGCATCCAACTCTGGCCCAGGGACCAGCGCCGGGAAGCAGTTACGGATTGAGACAATCGCACGACTGGGACCTCCCGCCCACAGTCGTTCTGATATACAACACTCCGGTAGGCGGGAGATTGCAGATCTTTGCCCCCAATTGGACCATCCTCAAAGATCCGTACCTCATCAACTTGCTACTTCACGGCTATCAGCTACCCGTTATTGGCAGTCCACCACTGACGTCACATCCGGCTCATCGCTCATATCCTGTTGGACCAGCTTCAGACTCTGCAATCCACAATAGGTAAGCTATTAGACAAACTCGCGTTAGAGCTCCTAGGTCCATCGCCCGTCACTGCAGGATTCTACTCCCCCATCTTCTTGGTTCCAAAGGAAAATTCCAACAAACTGCAGCTCATCTTCAATATGAAGTTGTTCAATGCCCAATTCCTTCTTCCACCACCTCACTTCAGGGTGGTGTCGATCAACCTTTTACGCACCATCTTGCAGAAGGGAGACTTCCTCATCAGCCTAGATCTTCAGGATGCTTATCTTCACGTTCCGATACATCCAGAACACCGGAAGTACCTTCGCTTCGTGTTCAACGGGAATCACTACCAATGGAAAGTCCTACCATTTGGAATTTCCACGGCCCCATGGCTTTTTACCCGAATTACCAAGCCCATAATGAGCTTTCTCCACTTTCAAGAGATCACCTTCGAAAGTTACATAGATGATTGCATCCAGGCTCAACAGGATCCAATCATATTGCTTTGCCAGCTACAGTTCACAACCATGCTGCTCAGACAGTTAGGGTGGCTGTTGAACATCGCGAAATCGGAACTAATACCGACTCAGAAACTCCAATTCATTGGAGCACTGTTCGACACTCGTCAGGGAATGATGTTCGTACCTCACAACAGGTGGATAAAGATTCAGCAATGCATTCCTCCAGCACTGTCTCAGGCGAGAACCTTACGACAGTGGCAGGAGCTACTGGGCCTTTTGACGTCAGCTCAAGCCTTAACGTACAGAGGCCAGCTCCAACTTTGGCCGATACAGCGATTTCTACGCCCGTACCTTCAGGCCGACAACCCCAAGGAACTAATTTGCCTTCGAGAACCGTTTCATCCAGTCCTTCAATGGTGGCTCGACGAACAGAATGTTTGCGCCAGAGTTTCTATGATTCCCTTTGCACTGACTCATCACCTATTCGTCAATGCATCCCTCATGGGTTGGGGAGCTCACTTCCTCGACCACCAAGTGGCCGGGCTGTGGTCATCCGACGAACGGGTACTGCATATAAACGAGCTGGAATTCAAGGCGGTAATTCAAGCCATCTCACATTGGGCAACAGAGCTTCAATCAACCAGTCTGTTGTTCCAATCAGACAATTCGACAGTGGTTTGGTATATAAATCATCTAGGCTCGACAGGCTCTGCGAATCTGCTACAATGGGCGATCAGGTTCTTCCATCTCATCGACTCACTCAACATCGTAGCCAGAGCCAGACACATTCCCGGGTTAAAAAATGTGATCGCCGATGCCTTGTCCCAATCCAACCGACCGTCCCCGACAGAGTGGAAGTTACTGCCCCAGATCTTTCAGTCGATGATCTACCGTTATCACGGCCTCAAATAGATCTGTTCGCCACAAGGTTCAACAACCAACTTCCAAAGTTCGTATCACCAATCCCAGACTCCTTGGCGTGGGACCTCGACACGTTGGCTACCACCACGGGCAAGAAGATTTCCACTGTTCCTGAGTTGCGGAGTCTACTACGCTCCTATAGACTCCTACGTTCCTGACCAGTCCAGGAAGTTCAGACCTCCAGCCTGGGATCTGTCCGTCGTCCTTCGTCATATGATTTCTACAGATTATGAACCTTCAGAAGACAAGAACTTCGAACGAGTGACATTCATGACATTCTTCCTGGTAGCTTTGGCTACCGCTGCTCGTATATCTGAACTGCATGCGCTTGATGTCAATCGGGTGCGGTTCAAGCGGAAGAAGCATGGCAAGGCTTTCCTGGGTGTCCGCTGGGACTTCATTGCGAAAAACCAACTGCCAGGGCAACCGGACCGGATGTTTACCATTCCCCCGTTGTCCACCATTCTTGGGCCTGATGATAATGAAGATTTGACACGCTGCCCTGTTAGGGCTCTACACGTTTACCTTGCTGCCTCCAAGGATCGTCGACGGCTACGGAAGAGCCTCTTCATACCCTTGTCGAACGCTTCAAGAACTGAGGTTTCCCGGACCACATTGGCCTTCTGAATGCGTGCCACGATCCTGCGAGCCTACACCTTTGCAGGATTGCCCCCTCCAGCCGCTTCCAATCCTCATGAGACTCGTGCACTAGTCTTGACGATGGCCCTCCATAGCAACTGCTCCTTGACCGCTATCATGGAAGGTTGCTTCTGGCGTTCTGATACAGTCTTCTCTTCACATTACCTGCTAGACCTGTCTGTCACGAATGTCCAGGGACTACACCATTTTGGACCTCTTGTACTGGCTCAGCAGCTTACATCGGCCCAACAACGCAGATGAGGGACGGCTCCGCATTCGCGTTACTACTTCCTTGTATATACTGAATAAAAGTTGAACTGGATCTCAACCTTTTGTTCTCATTATATGGGTTTAAGAACTACTTCACTTGGCCTCCATACCAAGGCATCGGAATATGGCCACCTAGCATGGCCCTACGGACCTGAGGCACAATCAGTATGACGATGCAGAGGTGTTCGACATTCACGCTTACTGACCTCTACTCCACGGAGCAATTACGTCAGTGTAGTGTGACACTCCCCGAATTCCAGTGGATTTCGTTGTGTTCTGCCTCCAAAGTTGCCGGGCACATCCTTTGATTAAGCTTAGGCAAAGGAGTAAGGGTCAATTTGATGCTGCCCGGAACTGAACGTTAAACCTTGTAGATGCCGAGTTGTGTTTCTCTTTCACCCGCCTCGGTCAGTGTCTGGGGGGGCCTTCTTGAAGTAGGGGCTGGCACGATTCTAGTCGCAAGACTTTAATTACGGGGGTACCTTGTAAATCGTGGCGAGGCGAGGCTTACTTGTCGAGTTGCGTCCCTTGTCTTGTACAAGGTTGCGGCCGAACACCACATCGCTCGGGAGCACCCATCTCCCTGGGAGTCGTTATGCTTAGTAAGCCAAGGGGTTCCGGAGAACCCACTACAAGCATAGGAGTTGTGTGCATGCGTTACAAGCCTCCCTTGTACATCGCTATCTACGGTTGTCATCGGTCCACACAGCTCCAAGACCAGCTGTTCGCACTGACCAGACAAGGTAATCTGCGGCCCGCCGTCTTACCGTGGGATAAGTGCAAGTCGTGAGATAGGATAAGTTGAAAAATTTGGAAATTTTAATATAAATTATATATTTATATACTTATCCTATCTCACGTGATGGATGCCCGCCCGGCCTCCCCACTACTAAGATTACAACGTTGGCTCCAAAATGAGAATGATCATTCAAGGTAGTCACGTGGGCAATGAGTGGAGCATGCTGCAAGCTCTATTAGAAACTAGGAAGCTAATTAAGGAGAGCAGCATGGAGTGCACGGGCGAATGGACAAGGAGGCCTATGGAAAAAAGTTTACAGTCGTTCCACTAAAAGTCGAAGCAAGAGAGAGAGGTGCAAGTCGTGAGATAGGATAAGTATATAAATATACAATTTATATTAAAATTTCCAATATTCTACGTGGATAATTATTCAATATGAGGTAGGAAATCTGAGAGCACAACCCTATGAGGAAATGGGTGTCTACCTTTGATGGTGGCGATATTGTATTTTGATGTTGAAAATATATTTCTAAACTGAAGTGAGGGAAGTGCGTTGCCAACCTTTGCTCGCTTCACTCGCATATAGGAAGACTGGTCATTTTCTCTTTGCTGCGCAACCTTATTTGCGCTACAGTTTGCCTGTGGTTAACACTACCTTGTACCATGCTCAATACCTGTTGTAATGGCTGGTGACGTGTAGTGGATGTCTCAAAATACCTGCTTGGTCAGGTGAAGTGGGGACTTTTGGGTGGCACACTCACCAGAGACCTGGGCTCAATTTCTCTCTTGGGTGTGAAAACTTTTGCTGGAATATTGCTTAAAACACACCATAAAATCATGCTCTCAAGTGACCATGATGGCAAACTAACCCTTCCGGCTCTATTCGGTATTGAAGGGGATCCTACTATCTTTTAGATTTGCTGCCATAGTGTCAAACCTCTCAAAGTTTATTATTACAAGGATCTTTGAACATTTGTATTTAATTTTGACTACAGCTTTCATTGATCATTTCTTTCCATTTCAGTACTTCTATCCATCACTTCCCTGTTGACTGACGCCAACCCTGATGACCCTCTTGTCCCTGAGATTGCCAGAGTTTACAAAACGGATCGTAGAAAGTACGATGATACAGCCCGAGACTGGACCAAAAAATATGCAATGTGATGCGACTTGAAACGTTTTTTAAGTTCGTAAGTGACATGCAGGACTGCTATGATTGACAATTTCGTAGACTAAAAAGAATGTGAATTTGCAGTTTCACCCGGATATCTTGTTTATTGCTGTGAGGACCTGGGATATCACGGCCCTTTCAGTTCCTTCTAAGGGTGACATACATGTAGATTTACAGCCCTGGATCTCAAGCCACTAGCACCATTGTCTAAGCTTGCACCTCAACCATCCTGTAAAACCCTTGAGAATATTGACATCATTTCCCATTGTGGTTACTTGTCAGCTTGCCCAGCTAGGCTTTAAATATGTACATACTTGGTTCTCAGGTTCTTCAGCAATAATAATGAAAATATCTTTACATTTTGACAAAAATGAAAAATTCTCATTTTGGACAGTAAATGTTATGCTAAAACATGTGGACAACATCAATCGCCCCACTAGATTTCAAAACCAGTGAGAACCAATTATGTCCATTTTTAGCCTCGTCGATTAGTCATTAACAGTAGAGTTTGTTGTTGCTGTGAATATTCAACAGGGTTTTTTAAAGCGTTTAACTATTGTCCAGTGCTATCTTTATCATGATCTTTATCATGTTTATGATTATTATTTGATAAATATCATTGTCACAATTATTATTTGAAATGTAAGTAAACTGTGCACTTTTGAAATTTGATGTATTCCAACTTGTTCATTTTATTCTGTGACATTAATTATGAGTCTAGTTCTTTGGGTGGTAATGTTATTGGTGCTAACAGGCTTTTAGACAGGTCAAGTTTTAGAGTTAGTTTTAGACTCAATTGAATAGTTAAGTACGTATTTGTATATGCCTGAAATCAAGTGACAGTTGTGCTGTTGTACTAAAGGTAGTGCCAACACAGGTCTCTATGTTGTATGGGTTAGTTGTCTTCAAACAGCATCCTTAGATAAGTGTCCTCATTGTATCTTCATCCTCGGATTTCCGGAGTATTTTCATCACAGGAAAGTAAGTGGTGATTACCTCAGGTAGATGGGTGTGTTTTCAGTTAGCATGCGTACCTATAGCAGTCCTGGGAAGGCAGTAGCAAGCATTGCAAGTCCTATAGATTTAATCAGTAAGTAGGATCATCACAGGTTATATTACTTACTATCATGATGCACACTGATTTCAGCGAGCACTGTTGGCCAGGTGGATTAGGGCACATCATGATTTGCTGTGCAGAGTTGCATCCCTTTGTGCTGCCAGGAATCAGGACCCAATTTTAACCTGATTGTGATTCCTGGTTTATTGGCAGTGTGCTTGTCAGTTTCTCCCCACTTTTAGCTGACAGGCATTCTCTTCCCACAGAGGTTACTCCTGTCATATCTTCCTACGTAACCTCTGTTCTAATATGGCCATTTCATGGTGTGAGCGTTCAGGACTCGTGATTGGAGGCAATCAGATTTAGTTGTGCAATCATCGACGTTGTTTCAAAAGTGATCATTCCCAAGGCCTCGGTAATTTCCGTATGCTTCGAGAAAACTAAACTTCTTCCCCTACGCGATGCACAAACGTTTCTTCTAGACAGAACTCAGTCATGTTATGGCGGATCAGTGGCGTCTCCATCGCCCTCGTTGACAACGGACAAGCTAGCCATTAAACGTCTTGTGTGTAACATCAACACAAGTCCCCGGCAGATGGGGGGATATTTGTGGCCCCACATTTGCTTGTGTTAGTCAAGTTGAATCTAAGTCGATGTAACACGTGTTCTGATTGGATAGAAAGAAGGGAGATAATTCGTCTTGCGATCTTTTGCCGCTAGGGGATTTTACGAGAACCGGGAAATATGGCCGTATTAGAACAGAGGTTTGTAGGAAGATATGACAAGTAACCTCTGTGGGAAGAGAATGGCTGACAGGCTGTGTAACTGAAACATTGTTCAAAGGAGCCTTGAACTCAAACATCTATCTGATCGGGCACTTGTTCCATAGAGTAACTTTCGCCTAATGCTGTGGTTGTTGTAAGGCTGGTAAGGTGTAGGAAGTGCAGTAGTCATGACCCAGATTCCTTTGTGGAGTGAGGGCATTGCAGCTGTCCATGCTGTGGGTGGCAAGACATCCGTGAAGTGTAAGGGAAGGAAGGCACTGGGGTCAAGAATTGGAGACTCCCTGTAACTTAAGGTATTGTACCATATTCTTGGAAGAATTATCCAGTTTCACAAAACATTTGTTTGGCTGGAGTACATGAAAGAGATGGAATTTTGACACAGGGTCAAGAATTACATACTCACATATGCGAGGATGTTGAAATCAAAGCTGTCTCTCGATTTTTTGGTTTGCCAATGCCAGAGCACTTCAAGTGTGATCATTACACAGAGGTGAGACGGGGATAGAGGCAGTGCTCTATATTATGTGGAGGGTCAGGGGGTCCTCATGTTTACTGCTCACATATCTCAGTCAAAGTATTTACCATCAGGGTAATGACAAGGACCCTTGACCTTCATGCTTACATGGTCAGCTGTCCCGACTTTGTGATACACTACTGGCCACCCTGATAGAGCTGTAATATTGCTGACAGTGCAATATTCCAATAAACTGTCAAATTCTGTTGGTGCTACTCACGGATTTCCAAACAGATGATGATAAAATCAAACCTACAATGCTAGATAAAACTGTTACTTCTGATGAAAGGAATTCTTAACATTTATTCAATTATGGTAATTATTTGAGAACAAATGTTATTTGTGTATTGGTTTGGCAAGGGTAAACTAACATTGTCTTTTTAATGGATATTTCATCTTTAGAATATATATTGTTCTTAGGAGTTTGAATGTACATGTCTTGATTATTTTGGGTCCTAGAAACATCCATTCTCTTCTCACAGAGGTTACTTGTCATATCTTCCTACGAACCTCTGTTCTAATACGGCCATTTCATGGTTTGAGTGTTCAGGAATCGTGATTGGTTGCTATCAGATTTAGTTGTGCAATCAGCGACGTTGTTTCAAAAGTGATCTTTCGCAGGGCCTCTGTAATTTCCGTATGCTTCGGGAACCTTTCTCCCTTCGCGATGCACAAACATTTCTTCTAGACAGAACTCGGTCATGTAATGGCGGATCAATGGCGTCTCCTACGCCCTCGGTGACAACGGACACACTAGCCATTAAATGACTTGTGTGTCACATCAACACAAGTCCCCGGCAGAGGAGGGATATTTGTGGCCCCACATTTGCTTGCATTTGTCAAGTTGGATCTATGTCGATGTAACACGTGTTCTGATTGGATAGAAAGAAGGGAGATAATTCGTCTTGCGATCTTTTGCCGCTAGGGGATTTTACGAGAACCGCGAAATATGGTTGTATTAGAACAGAGGTTCGTAGGAAGATATGACTAGTAACCTCTGTGGGAAGAGAATGAGCAACATCAAGTCCAGTTTGTTGCAATCAGATTTGATAGATGACACTTTGGTGTGATGTCTGGTAAAGGGTTAGTCAAATGCAGTCCTAGTGCTGAGGTTGGAGGGTTTTTATTACTTTGTTAACAATACTGACAGTACTGTGTGATGTTATTGTCAACAGTTGTCCTTTTTGGAAGTTGTATAAGAATTATTACAATGGTTTTCTGTGCAGTCCATGTGTAGGTCAGTGATAGAATTAGCCGAACTCACAATTTTCTCTTGATAACTGAAATTAAAACTAAATTGCTTTGATATTGTTTATTATTTCCTTAACTTAATAAGATTTAGTGCTTGTGTAACCATGAACATATTGCTGAAGTAATTGCCTAATTGCGTGTCCCTGTACAACTTTGCACTTTACTAATCCAAGACTCTGAACCGTACCACTCACCCTTTCTTAAGGGCTTCTACACCTTCGTCTCAAGATGACTATTTGGTGCTTAGCAAATATTGAGTATTATAGGGTGTTAGCATGATCATGAAAGTTCTTCTTTTGTCACATTTATGGTCAAGTTGCTTTCCAGTTGTTGGAGGTTGTGAGGGGAGCACTTCGTGAATCAGTGTTGCAAACTGGCAAGTGCTGGTTAATGTTACTTGTGTGTAAACACACAGTACAAACGAAACCTCGAACCTTTGATAGCATCCTTTTATATGAACCATTTCACTTAAATGGTGCCATGGCTGTTTTTTGTGTTGCAGCACTCTTTATGTAAGGTCAGTGGCACTTGCCTGGGAACCAGATTCAACTTTCCTGCTTGTATGTTGACTGGCTTGGAAAGACATTTTGACAGCTGTCAAGGGAGGCAACTTTTGGTTTAACAAAATGGTGTATAAGCATGCTTTTCAAAGTATTATGAATAAGAGCAAGCTCATTCAGTGGCTGTGCAGAGAAAATGTCTAGACCTTGTACTAGGTGATTTTGTTGAATACATTGTCTCAAATGAAATGTCTTCTTGTATTTTGTTGATACCTCAGCCGTTTCATAGCCACAAATTTGTTTCTAATGGTTGTGCCTCGTTGCTGTCTCTCACCAACAGGTGCCAACATCTTAAGGTAATTTTGTACAACTGAAAGAAAGGCAACTTTATATGGGTTTGGGGCTATGACAAGAGACTGCAGAGTATGGATACTGCATGGATTGTTGACCCACTTGGATTAGATATACTGGGTCTTGTGACTTTCTGTAATGAGTATATTTCTGGAATCTGTTCTACTTCCGGAAACAACAGATTATAGTGGATTCGAGACTGAAACAATATTTTGTTTGATTATGTTATGATTTGATTTTGAAATTGAAGCAATAAGTTTACCCTGGCATCTGTACACAAAAGAATTCAATGCAAAAAAACAATAAAGCATAGAGATACTATGCAATAAACAATTGGCACAGAAGGAGCAACAGAGTCAGTGATGATAATCACCAAGCAGCAACAGGCAAGCTAATATCCATCGAGAAATTAAGATTTCATTCTATTCTGAATTAGTCTGTGCTGTTCTAGAAGATTCCAGATAACATTTAAGTCCAAAGGTATGAAACTTGCACACCCTTGATCTCTTGTGAACCTTGCGGGGCGGTATGGTAGCCTATTGGTTAAAGTGTTGGCTCCTCATGCCGAAGATCCAGGTTTGAATCCCCACGTGGGTACAATGCACGAAGCCCATTTCTGGTGTACCCTGCTATGAGATATTGCTGGAATATTGCTAAAAGCCGTGTTAAACCATACCCACTCACTCACTCTGAATGTTAGGTGGTATGGTACCCAAGTGATTAAAGCCTATGCTTGTTACACCAAAGACTGGTTTCGATTCCCCACATGGGTACAATGTGTGAAGCCCATTTCTGGCCCTGTCATGATATTGCTGGAATATTGCTAAAAGCTGCATAAAACCATGCTTACTCACTCAGTAAGGATGGAATACAATGACAATATTGTATTTAATATATTACAGTGCCACATGACAATATCTATACCTTATATTTTGAATAATATGTTTAAACATATGGAGCGTCTGGTTGGGAATAGGCGGTTTGATCCCCTCCCTTGCACTGTGTATTTAATGATAATAATAATCATTAGGTTATTTGTAATGCGCTGAATTCCGCACCATGGAGGGTATGCTCAAAGCGCTGCAATCTGATTATTATTACCAACGAGAAAACTCAAGCTGCCTGTGAGGCACTCCAAGGTTAATAGTCACATGACATATCCCATCGGGTACCCATTTTCTGCTGGGTGAACAGAGGCAAGTTTGAATAAACTCACTTGCCTCAGGTGAGACCACATGTATCACATGTGCTTCGTTGTGGGGCAGGACTGAAGTCCTAGAAACTCTCAAGAGTCAAGTTACCAACAGGGTCACCCATCCAAGGACTCTCCGCACCCAACGTTGCTTAACTTCAACTCAATTTAGGACAAAGGACAAGGACTGGACGGCTGGGAGTCAGTATGCCGTGTATCAGTGTTGTATCCATGTTAAACTCATTGGCGAATCCAGAGGGGGTGCAGTGTGCACCCCAATTTTTTCCTGAAAGGTTATTAAATGACCATTGAAACTCTCGTGAAAATGAAGTGCACGCACGCACACGTACACACACAGACACTTTCTTCATAAAATGTATCCGCCCCTGTAAACTGCAGCATGTTAATCAATGGGTTAGGACTTATGGGACTGGCCTAGACTTGTACAGCTCGTTAAACTCAAGCAAGGATTTCTGTGTAACACGATACACTGTAAGGTACACGGTAAAATGCACAACCGTTGAGAATCTAAAACTAATTAGAAGCTGATTTACATTTATCCGCGAGCTGACATAATGTATGGCCTCTTTGTGCAACACGGATCACCAGTGGCCTGGTACGTGAGCGATCACATA